GATCTTGTGTTACTCGTAAACAATTTCCCAGCTATATTTACCTTAGTGTACTTTTATGACTGTTTCCGTATCAGTAATCATACCCTAACCACGGGACTACTGTCCGAGGCTAGAGGTTATGTTGGCAATTAACATAGTACCAGGCTCGAGTGGTGCACCACTTGGTTCTGGGAATGATTGGCTGACGATGGCTAATCAGCCAGAAACGGTCATTCCAATCTCCCTTGCCTTTGCCAGTAGTATTACCTACCCAGTATACACAGCATATGACTCGGGCATAAAAAAGAAGGCAGTTCAAGCACTGGTAAAGTCTGCTACCTTCTAAGAAGGTTTTCGAAATTTCCTCAAAATGAGACGTCATGGGATAAAAAAGTAGACAAAACCGGATTTCTTAAATTAAATGATTGTGTATGTTGAGACAATAGTATTTTTGGTGTAAGTTGGATGAACGCATAAGTTCACTGCCATCCATGTGTAAGTTTGTTTATGATAAAGACGACATATCAGGCGTTTTCGAATCTAATTTAAAAAATATATTATCACTATATTATATTAAAGATTGCTGTGTATAAAGCTGTGTATACTTTTTAATAATTCCAAACGGCATAATGTTTTTTTGCGATTCCCGTGCAGAAAATACAAACTTTGCAGTTTTTTATTTACAAAACTTCAGGAATGAGCACAACTCCGGAGACCATCGTCGGTAGACATTTGAACATGAAGATTTTTGCAATCTCACTGATAACGGACACCACAAATGAGACTAAGAAGTCGGCAGGTGTCTTAACTCACGCAGAGGTACTACGAGTGGCCAATGAACGGGCTCCTGTCCTGGCCCGCTTGGTAGAGAAGATGCTAACGTGCCTGTAGGCAGAAGGCCACCTCAACATTTCTCTCAAAGCAAGGGATGTAACTTTCACGCAAGCGGAGCATCTTGACTGACTTCATTTTTTTACCCAGTATTGCCATGTTTTGAATAAGTCTAGTGCGAAATAAATGTCTTTTCACTGGTGCTCTTATAAACGTGCACAATGGTTGGGGGGTAAATAAGCAGTCTGATCCCCTGGGGTGCCATAATATGTTATATTTTCTGTCATGAGGAACGCTATAATTGGCAGCGAAGAGGGATAACCCAGGACCTGCACATCTTTTCCTTTTCCTACTCGTTCTATAGAGTCTAGGAAACACGTGTTGGTTAAGTACAGGGCCTATACTATTTTAATGTGCGCAATTTAGATACAACGTAAGATCAATTTGAAAGAGTTATCGCGTGGTGTTGAGGCTAGGAAGGTTTAACCCTAACGGCTGCCAGCTTCCAGGCCCGGTTCCTTAGGAGAAGAGAGGGAGAAGTATTAGAAAGGTGAGATTAGTAGGAACAGAGTATTCTGTACAGACGAAAAGGAGAACAGCTAGGACGAAGTCTTGACTGTCGGAGCGCACGTCTAGCCGCGAGGCGGGCTAGGGCCGGGTCATGTCTGGTGGCAGACATTCGAGCGGCCACCATTGGCTGCATCCTTGAAGGTCATTGGTTGGACCGCGCGAGGATAGGGTTGATAAGAGAAGGATGGTTACTTGGGGAGAGTCTGGAGGAGCCAGTCTAGAGGGGGGGGGAAACAAAGAGAGTGCGGACGAGCACTTGCAGCTAAGTGGCTGTGGGCCATGCCAGACGTGGAGCTTGTAGGAGGTCCTTTTGTGCAGACAACGCCGGCTTCCTCAACCTATTAGCAGTCGCTTCTACTGTTGCTAGCAGGCGCAAACACAGGGACTTCGGATAATTTGGTGGGACCTTATCAATTATCATGAAGGCTTCGTTGGAATCCACAAGATTTCCGTAATCAATAATGTGGGTGAGAATTGCGCTGTTTATGCACCTGACTTCACCTTTACTCAACCATGCCAAGAGTTGCTACCAAATTCTTTTGGACTAGCGCTGACTCGTGCGACCGATATAG